ATATAAATAATAAGTCCAATAAAAATAAAAATAAATTTCGATCTCGATGATGTCCGCATCAGCCTCTACTGTTCCCTGGGCATGATTTGGTTTGGATGTCATGTTCATTTACACGTCAAATTCGAATTTTTTTCTTGGTGCATACTGTTTGCTGTTTCATCGTGCTGTTGAAGTTATCACATTAAGATGTAAATGAAATTAATCTGGTTTAGCTTCCTACTCTGTTATATTTCACTTTAATAAAGCTATTGAAATTGTTATATACCTGATATTTATTTGTTGAGTTTTTCAAGCTTAATCACTCGACCCCTACTTTTTTGTTTATTTAAACAATTAGTAATAATGATACAGGATGGTGCTCTATCAACTAACAAGTTGTCCCCAGAAAGTTTGATTAACAATTTTCCGGGACAAGTTACTGGGAGTAATTCCATTTATTTGGATGTTCCCAACATTGTATCCTATCAGACTATTGAAGGTCAAATGGTTGTAAATTCACAGAATATACTTTCTGGACTGGGGTCATTAGGTGCAGTTGATTCATTGGATAATCTGGGCAAAGATGGTTGGCAAAAGCAGGACAGTTTTGGAAGATGGGTGAACGATATTATTGCAGATTCCCCAGAATCAGTAAATGATCATACTCTGGAACCTTCTATTCCAATGGTGAATCAGTTTTTCACATCTCCAATGACGAATACTAATCAGGCGTCCATAGAAGGGCGGATATTCGACATAACAGATATCTCACCAGCATGGGCTTTTTCAAGTGAAGAAACAAAGGTTCTTTTCCTCACCACTTTTTATCAGTACGGTTTGTTGTCTTCTGTTGGTACAATGTCTTTAATGATGTAACATTGAAATAAGGGGAAAAACAGTTTACATGTCACTGTTTGAAAATTACGTCAGAACAAGTCATATGTCATTTCAGTTTGGGGATGAAGAAAAAGATGGGAGCTGTTTTCCAAGAGTAATGCTCAAGGCATTGAATTGGAAATAGGAAGAATAAACTGAATGAAGTTGAGCAAACAATTAATTTGGTATCTGTATCTAGCATGAAAACTTGCCAGGAACCTAAGAAGTACAATTCATCATTTTAGTGAGATTTTTGTTTTCCATAAAATAAGACTAATCTGTGCACTGCAGATACTCAATATGTGTCATAATAGATAAAGTCTTGCTCACCTTGTTTCGTCGAACTGTCAAATTTCCTGTAATTGTATTCAACATTTATTACTAAGCTTATTGGCCTAACACGTTATAAAAAGTATATAGATTTTACTGTTAGTCACTCTTTATCTTTGAAAATTTAAATTAATTCTTAGATTGGAAATAGACAATCAGTTACATAACTACTTACTGACCCTCAGTAATTCTTATGCAGATCTTAGTGGTTGGGATTTTCCACGAAGGACAAGCATACCTCCCAAACTCTAGTTTGTTCCTTGTCTGTGGAGATTCTATTGTTCCCATAGAAGTTGTACAAGGTGGAGTCTTTCGTTGTTTAGTTGCACCTCAAACTCCTGGTCTCGTGAATCTTTATTTGACTTTTGATGGCCATAAACCAATCAGTCAAGTTTTGAGGTTTGAGTTCCGTGCTCATTCATTGCACAACCAGACAATTCCTTTGGAGGTGAATTCTAACTGGGAAGAATTTCGATTTCAGATGAGACTTGCTCGTTTGCTTTTCTCTACATCAAAGAGTCTCGATATTTTTTCCACTAAAGTATCACCTATCGCCTTAAAGGAAGCCAAAGTTTTTGCTCGGAAATCCTCCCAGATCTCTGAAAATTGGGGGCACTTGATGAAATCAATTGAAGACACAAAAATGTCTTTCCTCCAAGCTAAAGGTAACTTGTTTGAGTTGACCTTGCAGAATAGACTGCGGGAGTGGTTACTGGAAAGAATTGTAGCTGGGCGCATAAAATCTGAATTTGATGAACAAGGTCAAGGTGTAATTCATTTATGTGCCATCCTAGGTTATACATGGGCGGTTTATCCATTTTCCTGTTCCGGCTTATCGTTGGATTATCGAGACAAATTTGGATGGACAGCTCTTCATTGGGCTGCACATAATGGAAGGTAGTCACACGCTCTATGCAATGTCAGATCAGCAGTACTTCTTAATTTGCTGCATGCAAAGGGAGATCTTTAAAATGTCACGTATTGCATGGACATTATTCACGCTTGCATGTTTGTGTCATGAAATGTATGTTCGAGATTAAGGTTTTGGAAAAGGTGATTTATATTGGATCACACTTATTGGATAGTGGTGAAAATTCTAGTCAGCTGATTTAAGTAATGGATTTGTTACATTATTTTGTATGACTGAGTACAGTTTTTTTCCAGGGAAAAAATGGTTGCAAGCCTTTTATCTGCTGGGGCAAAGCCAAGTTTAGTTACGGATCCAACTGCAGAAAACCCTGGTGGATGCACTGCTGCAGATCTTGCTTCCAAAAATGGATATGATGGTTTGGCAGCTTATCTTGCTGAAAAGGCTTTAGTTTCACATTTTGAGGATATGACATTGGCTGGAAAAGTTAGTGGGTCACTGCAAACAACCACAACCAATGCAATGTACCCTGGAAATTTCACTGAGGAGGAGTTGTATCTGAAGGATACTCTGGCAGCTTACCGGACAGCTGCTGATGCAGCTGCACGTATTCATGCTGCATTCAGGGAACAGTCATTCAAAATGCAGACAAAGGCAGTTCAGTCATCTAACCCAGAGATTGAAGCACGTCAAATAGTTTCAGCAATGAAGATTCAGCACGCTTTCCGCAATTACGAGACGAGGAAAAAGATTTCAGCCGCTGCTCAAATCCAATGTAGATTCCGTACTTGGAAGATGCGGAAGGATTTCATTAACATGCGTCATCAGGCCATCAAAATTCAAGTAAGCCCTGATTCACTCCCTCTTTCTCACCTTTTGCTGGCGCTTTAGTTCAATGCTGTCAGGAGCAATTTCAGGCTAAAATAGCCTTGTGACTTTGTCTCAATTTTTATCATGTAGAGCTGAATATGCTGTGCCTATCTGTTGGTAGCACATTGCTGAACAATGTGTAAATTCATTGGTGGTCACTAAACTTTTAGCAAACTTTTGTGTTAATTACTGAATTTCATTTTGTTTAAAGTTGGTTGCTAATATTAAATTTTGTTAAAATTTGGTCACTTTGTCCTTGTCCCCTAGTTTGGCTAATGGAAAAGATGACGTGGAAGTCTAGTAATTTGCCAGTTAGGCAGCCAGCTAGACTACCACGCCGGCTTTTCCATTAGTCAAATTAAAGGACATGGAAGGAGTTACTAAGCTGTAACTGAAATTCGAATTTAGCAACCTGACCAAATTTTGACAAAGTTTAAGTTCAATGACCAACTTGAAACAAAATTAAATTAAATGCCCAACATAAAATTTGTACAGAAATCAAATCAGTGAGCACTGGTGTTTTTAATCCTCTGAACAATTATCATGTTTGAATTTGACTGGCGACTATCAGAAAGCCATGACGCAAAAACTGAAACAATATTAATTTTCTCTGCATAACTTATGTAATGGATATTATAGTATTTACGAGTCTAATATTCGCAGACGAATGGCATGTTGTAAATCTATGTATGATTGCAACTACATTACATAGCGTTACAAGTTTTTCTACTGTGAAGCTTGGAAATTTAGTTCTTCTCTGATGCAGGCCGCTGTCCGGGGTTCCCAAGTTCGGAGGCAATATCGTAAGATTGTCTGGTCAGTCGGGGTCCTTGAAAAAGCAATAATACGGTGGCGTCTCAAGAGAAAAGGCTTCCGAGGGCTTCAGGTTCAAACTGATGCAGCTCTCGAAGATCAGAATGAAGAAAGTGTTGAGGGCTTCTTCCAAGCCAGCAGGAAACAAGCTGAAGAGCGTGTTGAAAGATCTGTTGTAAGAGTACAGGCTATGTTTCGCTCAAAGCAAGCACAAGAAGAATATAGTAGAATGAAATTAGAACATAAGAAAGCAGCGGTAAAGATTCTCTTTTACATTGGTCAGTTCACGGTACTAATTCACATAATCTTAACTAATTATGTTTTTGTGCAGCTGGAATATGAAGGGCTCCGTGATCCTGATACTGAGATGGGATAAAAGACCGATGTGCACGCATTCTATTGTGAGATGGTTAGGAACTGTGCACTTGAAGGAAGATGAATATGACACTTTGTAAAGATTAATGTAGTACCGTTTTTGGTTTGTCATCCTTAAACGGTTTTGGTTTCTGTTTATCTTTATAGTCAAATTTTCCCTTCGGATATTTTGAGATCTGAAAATATCATGATCTGGGAATTGCTAGGTTTTAGTCTGAATCCCATCTCCATTGGCATGTGTACATGCTCTTCAAAAATTCTAGTGGATTTGTCTCGGTTGTGTTATATATGTCTGTTAACTATTGCTAGCCATGAGTGGTTTTATGTAATTGTAACTTTTGCTAGTTCTGAATTGTTTTAACATGATTGAAATTTTTAAGCATTGTACTATGACCTCAAATAATAGAGTTTGAGATGTGATGTTCTGAACTTGTTGTCTCATTACAATTTTGACACCTTGGCATATTACCTCTTCTTAGCAAATGAAAATACGTTAGTCAAGGTGTCAAAAAATGTGTGAGCGTTTATTCATTTGCTTAGAAGAGGTGATATGTATATCCGTGTTATGAAACATGCCACTTTGTTACTTCATTTTTAATGCCTTCTCACATAATTGGAAAAGCCCACAATAATCTTTTTATATTACCTCTGCAATAGACTATTTCATACATGAATACATATAAAAACCCAACTTAGTGCTTGTATGTGAGTGCTTTTAAATGTTTATAAGTTGTGAGTCTTACTGAATGTGTGGATCAAAAAAATACTTGACTACAACTGAAACACTCACATGTGAAACCTTCAACCCGACAAAATTATCACGAGCACAAACGACATATAAGATCCTTCAAATCATTGGTACATCCATCCTTCAAATTTTTTAAGACTGCTACTTGATATATTGAGATAGCCATTCGAATCCCTCACCATATCCCATCTTGCGCACGATACTACACATGAATAACTCGAGGGGACGAATATTTGTTTCAGTAAGATCCACCTTACTCTTGCCAGTGTTGAGGCCGGTTAGGCCAAGGTAATAACGCAACTCGTCCTCAGAAGCAGCATAGGACACGTCGATCTTGTTCCCTAAGACAAGAAACGGGACATTTGCTAATGACTCGTCTAAGAGAAGGGCGTCTAGTTCCTTCTTTGATTCCATGAATCTCTCTTTCTCAGAAGCATCAACAAGATAAACAACAGCATCAACCTAATGAAATAAGGTGCACATCGGTTTACTTTTCTTTATAAAGTACTCTAAGGCAAGATCCTACAGGTTATGACATGAATTTCGATATTAACCTTGGCATAATAGTCTTTCCAGACTCTTCTAGCAATTTGATGTCCACCTAAATCAAATGCATTGAACTTTATCTTCCCCATACTCAGTTCCTCTGATGTTGGATACTGTGTTGGTTGATGTTGAGCCAGCCTCTGCGTCCACAATAACACAATCATATTTCAGTCATCACTAATATTATGAAAGCACAAAGAAGAAAAATCATTTCATGCTCAAAAATCTTTCAATCATGTTTCCAACATAATCAACGTGGCATGTTTGGCAGCACTTAAAAAGTTATTTTTTCTACAAATGGTACACTCATTCGCCTATGTTTGGCTTGTGTTTATAAATAGACAAGTCACGTTTTATTCATATATTTCAAGGACACACAAGTATTATCAACTTATTCACCTCTCTTTTTATTTATTTATAATTTAAATAATTTATAAATACTTTCTAGTCGATTTGTTAGTAAGAAAATGTAATAGTGTTTGCAAATTTGTGAGAATTGTTCAATTTAAAGCATTTGATGGAAAAGTATTTGACTTACGTGTAGAAAGTGCATAAAGTAAGATTTTCTTGCTTGTTATATAGTAGGAGAAAATTGTTCAATTTAAAGCCTTTGATGGAAAATAATTTGACGTACGTGTAGAAAGTGCATAAAGCAAGATTTTCTTGCTTGTTATATAGTAGGTAGGTCCACTTACGAACCCAAAAAAATACAATCTATGATTTATGTTGAAAAGGAACAAAGACATACTAGTTTGTTTACATACATATATGTATGACACACACACACAGCTTGTGAATTTGAATGAGTTGAGAGGGAAGAAACGAAACCTCATCACTCAACATATAAAGTAAAGTGGTTTTGCCCGCATTATCGAGGCCCAAAAACAAGAGTTTTGCCTTCTTTTGCTTTAATCCAAGAGAGGTTAATATGCCATAGAACCAATTCATGGAAAACATACTTTCTTTGAAAAGACAGGAAAAGTTGAGAAAATGAACTATAAAAATTCACGGACTTAATTTGATTTCAAGTTGTATTTATATTATAAAGGAGAATGGGGTGACAACTTTGGAGAGTGCCCATTGGCCGGTTTGCATCATCCAAGCGTTGGGTCTCAGATTAGGGATTTAGAATATGCCCATTGGCCGGTTTGCATCATCCAAGAGTTGGTCACAGAGTAGGGATTTAATATTATAATATAAATAATTCTTTCATGAAATTTTCACCTTTTATACTATGGTCTAGTAAAGTCAATGTTGTTTGAGACATATCATGTCTTAAACGTATTTGTTTATTGAACATTTCGACATATATATTTACATAAAGAACGAGAGTTACACGAATGTTTCAACATATTTTGAAAGTGTTACTGAAAAAGAGTGAACAATAGTATAAAGTTATAAACAAGATTTTTAGCTCATTTCTCTTATTTAGCCCCTGTTTGTCAACCATTATTGAGAANCTCATTTCTCTTATTTAGCCCCTGTTTGTCAACCATCATTGAGAAGAAAATGGTGTAATGAATAATATTTTTTGGAAAATATGTGGTTGAAATTGAAAGAATTTTATCGGTTTATGTGTAGAATATTTTATTATTTGAATGTGTGGTAGAGATTGATTACTGTAGAAAACAATTTTTTGAAAAATGGCAGACAAACATGGGCTTAATATTATGTAGCGTTGCTTAGCCCCTGCTTGATCATCATTTTTAAATCTCATTTTCAATTACCCACTTTATGAAACCCATAACTTTTGAACTACATATTTCATCAAATATTATCAAAATCTAATAAAAAATCTAATTTTTGGCGGAATTGTACGAAATATGCACAAAGCACATAGACAGCATATAATAGGACATTTGAAAATATGATACACTATAATGATTTTGGGGGAAATAATTTTCAAAAAATCTCTCCAGACCAGCCGTCAAGATTTGCTGAACTTTTTATATTGCTCACTTTTAGTGCTGTATGTCAATCCCACTACAAAGCCCATTAACTCTGCTGAACTGAAGCCCAAACCCATCAAGAGGAAATGTCACACGCTTAAAACGAACCAAAACCCTAGCAATTTTCTTCTTCCGGCGTGACGCACCCTCCTACCACTTCCAACCACCAGGTTTCTGTCGAGTTTCTATAGTTATAGAAATATATGCATTTATAGGCTAAACATTGTTTTTATCCTTTCGACGCAGAGAAGAAAATGGCGAAATCGAAGAACCACACTGCCCATAACCAGTCCCACAAGGCCCACAAGAACGGCATCAAGAAGCCCAAACGCCACCGTCACACCTCCACCAAAGGGGTTCGTTTTCATTAAGCCGATTTCCTGTATATGTGTGGGGATTTGTGAATTTTTTTTCCTTATTTTTATGTGTGAAATGTTATACAGATGGACCCTAAGTTTTTGAGGAACCAGAGGTATGCGAGGAAGCACAACAAGAAGAGTGGTGAATCTGCTGAGGAAGAGTAGACTAAAAATCACAAATTTGCCCATAACCCATTTTCTGATAGTGCAAAAGTTTACTATAGAACCCTTTTTTATCAATTAATGTCAGTATTATTGCTATTGTATGAGCTAAAACACGCATCTTTATTGAATCTTAAGTTAATTTCTCTTGGGATTGTAATCTGAAATCCATTGAGCATGTTGGGATAATTTTTGTTTGGTTTTTTTTTTCTTGTTTGATAATTATGTGATGGGTGCTTGTTGCTGTGAATTATGCTGCCCTTGTGATATTAAGGGCCCATTTGGCAGGCTTTTGAAAAGCTACAGCTTAAAAAAATTGCCTTTAAAGATAATTATTTGGAAGAGCTTTGTTAGGCTAGAAGTGAAACTTGTACAAGGGGAAGTTCTTCTACTAGAAGCAAAAATGAAAGAAGCTCTTACAAACTGGCCTTATGTTGGCATGGTTTTGCTTCCAGGTACTTGAATTTGTGATTTGTTGGTCAATTTTTCTGCGTCCGGTGGAATTGAGTTAAGCCACTTTGTCAGAAATTATTGCCCACCTATTTGAAAGAAGCAATGTTGGCCGCAGATGATTGAATGTAAAACTTGACTTTTTTTAAACGGTCCAATGATTGTCAAGGAAGATGGCAATTTTTTTTGGCAATGTAGCATGATCGGGTGGAATTTATCCTTGAAGTATGTAGATTTGATTGAGCTTCTGAATAATGTTGCCACAGGTGACTTGTGCACTCACGGTATGCTCCTTAAGTTTTCTTTAAAATAATTCGATTGTGCTTCTGAATAATGTTGCCAGATACAAGTGACTCGCATGATACGTGCGTGCAGGATTATGCACCTGTTTAAGTTTTCTAAGAAAGTCTTTATTCTTTGGGAATTTGTCAATCTGATTGAGCTTCTGAATAATGTTGTGCATCCATTTAGGTTTTCTAAGAATGAAGCCTTATCCTTCGAAATTTTTCAATTTGATTCAGCTTTACTAACAGTGCTACAGGTAAATAGTGACTTCTATCTACAGTTAGTTCCACATGTTCAAGGAGGTGTGCATCCATTTCAGTTTGTATAAAAGTGTAAATTGAGTTACTGTTAACGTTATGCATGCACAATTGATGATCGAGAATTCAGTCATGAAGGAATCATTACAAAGTGAGCATAATATTGAAACTGATTGTTGGATTCTCATTCATTAAAATTGCAATTTTCTTTTTTCATGCTGCCATTGGTAAAAAAGTATTTGCTTGGTTGAGTTCTCTTCGTAATTGTTATATTTAGATGGTTATTCTTTTGGTCACAGCACTTGTCTTTCAATTTTCCATTTGGCAGTACGAAATAAATAGCAATCGATATTCTTTTGTGAATGAAAATGAATATCTTTACCATTTGCAATAAAAACTAGGATAAATAGAATGTTTCCATTCGGGCAATGCAGATGACCTTTAACTAATGTTCGGGTACCTAAACTCGCCCCTAATGCTATGGCATTGGATGCTTCGTGGAATGGTCTGCAGCATGCATTCCAAAAATGTGTACTTCCATAAATTCCACGCTGTCAGGTATGTATATCAACTACAAGAAACAATAGAAGTATAGATGAATATTCTTCAATAACCTTGGACAACCAATGAATGTGAAACAACAGGATTTTTCGTATTATCTTGTTATATTCTAACACGATATCCGGAAGTTGCATCTTTTGAAGTCACTAGTCATGTAGCCTATGGTGAGGTAGCAACGATATAAAAGAAGATAAAGGGAATATAACCTTAGCAAGTCCTTCCCCTTCATTTTCTGCCAGGGCGTATTGGCTTTAAAACTCGTTTTGGTGATACTTACCTCAAATCCTTTCTTTTCAGCTTTTTCCTTGGCTTGAGACTGAAAGAGGAACAGCATACAAATTGAAACATAACATCGATATGATACATACACAGGGACTTTTGGGGTTCACAGTCATGAATGAGTTAGAACAAGAAAAATGAACAAAAGAAAAAGGAAAAAAAGAAAGTACAAGAAAAGGAGTTCAATCCTTTGCATGCTACTGGCCAAAACCTGGCATCGAATTGGGAAGCACAATATTGAGGCCCCATAAAACACGAAAAGACCCTTGCGAATATTTGAGACTTTACTAAATAGCTTGTATATAAATATGGCGGTCTTCCTTGAAGAAAACATCTTGATAGTTAAGTATATGTAAGAAGTCCTGTTGAGATGATGCACGTAGTTAATAATTGCTGGTAAGCAATTATTTTAGCCATCGTGACCCATAGAAGGAGATGAACTCCGAAATATGTCTTGTTTTCATCATTACATAAAATGATTTAGAATTTATCTCAGTCGAGCCAACCATACTGATTTCAGGATGAGTGGAACAAGCCGCTGGAATGCTTAAATGATTGAGCAAGTGATCTTTTCCAGTAACTAGTTCAACAACTGTGTAAAACAAACCGTTCTGATATATATATGACAGGTAAAATTAAACTATTGAGTCTACATACTAAAATTATTAGGCAAAACCAACTACCAGAAATTCCTTAAGCATTTGCTGCATGGGAAAAGCATCATTTTACCATTTGCATCACCAATGCAATATAAGTGAGGAACCTAATAATAGAAATATTAGAGAGTCTTCAAATGGGATACTTTGTCTAAGACATGGTGTTGAGTCTCGAACCCGTGACCTGGATGATGATATGTGCTTCCAACAATTCATTACTAAAATCGTGTTTCTGGAAATGACACTTTTATTATTATGAGACAATGGCTGGATTGTTGACACTTGGCACGCCACATACCATTGGATGAGATTCTAGAGTCTTCGACTCTCTATCTTCGATGAAACGCCTCATTTTGGATCATTATTGGTTTCTCTCTTTTGGCTCTTTGTTTTTTTGGCTCTCTCGTCTGTANTGATTCGGGTAATGAATGAGTTGTTAGGTAGAACTTTGAGATCTGACCTATTTTGCCTGAGAGAAGATCGATCTAAAGGCTCTTGTAAAAGATAAGTGTCTGTAGCCTTTTATCTTATGTTGTTGAACAGATTTTGTAACTGTTGTTGCCATATTTTTGGCTTGTTAGTGCAACCGAGCAATATCCATTATTTGAATGCTCAACGGGGGATGTAAGCGTTAGATCTGGTCGCCAAACCTCCGGGACTTAGGCCAAAAACATATTTTGTGTTCATTTTAATTTCTGCAACTTTTACTTTCGATTGAGATTGATTCTTTATATCTTGTTTAATATTGTGTGGTTCTGGCCTTTGCACATGGTTTTTCCTCCATCCACGTTTAGCTAAAAGATAAATTGGACCAGCAAAATTTCCTAACTGTTGATATCTAGCTCGTGTATCTCATATTTTCATATAAACATGTGTACACGGTAGAAAAGCCAAATGCTCAAGCTTACATTCAATACCACCAAGATTAACTTTGGTTGGTAAACTGCAGATGACCAATAGCCATGCGGAATGCCATTTAGTTGATGTAAAAAAGACACCTGCAGAAATTAACAATTATGGCAGGGCTACTTGAGTTTTGGATTGTTATAATGTGATTAGTCTAGTTCCTTACATCCTCGTAGGTGGTCTATACTGAGATTTTGATTTACACTTTTGGGCAGTCGACACCTGAAGAAGTTAACATTTATAGCATGGGACTCCTTCGGTTTGATATAATATGATAGATCCAATTCCTTGCATCATAGACCTTAGCTTGTTCAAATTTCATATCCTCCTTGTGATTGGGTAAATATCATAGTTTTATGCTTCACAAGATACTGTCCATTTTTTGTTCGAAGTTCATATTCAAATATCATATACAATGTGAATATGATATTAATTGCGTCATGGACCTTAGCTTGTGAAGTATAAAACTATGATGTGAACATATTGTATAACCCAGTTCAACTGATAGTAGCAAATATCACTTTAAGTCACTGTTTACATGCAAGGATATTTTCACCCGAGCTAGATAAACCAAGTCACAATTGTATTTCAAAAACCATCTGTTTCATCATCCAATTACTGAAGTGACAAAAAATTTATTCTTAAGATAACAACATGTAGTAAAAGATGCAGCTAATGTACTCACTTCAAAACATACTGAAGATGAATTTATAATAATTGCAATCAGTATCAACTATCAACTGCCAGCAATGCCTTGAAAAAAACTGAAGTCATAAGAATACTCAAAAGTTTATTGAATTCTTGGGCATTTGCTTTCAGAGAAAGAATACTTCATTCCAAAACTCAACTAAAATCAAGCTTACAGCTTAGGAACTGAACAAATTCATTTGAATTTGAGCTATATTTTTTTTCTGATGGGAGGCTTAAGATAAAGGCATACCTTTCGATAATTCTATAACGCTTTGACAAAACCGGAGCCAAAGAAATGCACCAAAAATCAGTTAAGAATCATACACACTTGCTCAACCAATCAATTGATAACAAATTCAACAATAATTCATGCTTGAGACCTAAAAAATAAAAATTTTCGCACAAATCAATTGAAGGATAACTTGAAATTTGCGTTCAATGCCTCAAAATCGCAACTTTTCACGCAATTCAACTAAAATCAAGCTCAAAGTAATAAAATCATAATTTTTCACATAATTCAAGAAGCCGTACTTTCTCAACAGCATGCAATGCAGCCCCCTAACTCCGCACCTATAATCACGAGATCATGATCACACGATTTCGGAGGGGTGCCATTGCCCGAAGTCGAAGCTGAAACTGAAACTAGGCGCTTTTGTAAACACGATTTTCTCTAAACAATTCTGATTCTCTTTGTTGAGCTTGGAAACTGAGTGAAAACCAGAAGCCTCTTGCCAAAGAGAGCAGAAACGGAAATTTGATCGGAAAGTGGAGTTTGGGTTTGATATAGAGAGAGAAGAGATTGATGTTTGCATATCAAATACATACATAAATATATCCCTGAGCAAATGCTTACTGTCTCTGTATGTGTTTGTAAGTGTATGTATAAGTTACAGTTGAAGAGAGATGCGGAGATATCAAA